AATGTTTTGTATTTTTTCTTACCTAGAATTTTTGTAAAGCCTTTGTATCACACAACACGCACAACACCAATTTAAGAACACACTAACCAGGGCTTAGTGTGTTGGCTTTAACTACTAGAATCCCCTTGTTAACCTTGAATAATAGGTTAAACTTAATTATAAAAACTCACTATTCTGAATTTTGTCTTAATAGTCGACTATTAGAGATAGTAGTCGTTTTAAACTTTTCATTTGGTGTTTTATATAACTCAATAAAGTTTTTGTCTTTTTCCAGTATAGTCGACTAATAGAGATTATAGTGACTACTGAGATGTTTGACAGAACATAAGTTTTCTGTCTTTTTACAGTGTAGTCGACTAATGACTCAGTAGTCGACTACTGAAGAAAATATAAGTTTCAAGTTTCTGTCTGAACTCAGTGTAGTCGACTAATTTCATTATAGTCGACTTACTGAGACATTCTGAAAACACAGAGTCTGTCTGAACTCGGTGTAGTCGAATGACTTACAGTAGTCGACTTACAAGGAGACAGTTTTTCAGTTTCAGAATTGAATATCTAACAGTTCTTGGCGGTTTTTTAACGTTTTCAACTTTAAAAACTTGTCTTTTCAAGGGTATATATAGGTTATTTTGTTCAGAAAATTGGCAGGACACATACTACCATAGCTTTGATTTCTTGAGCAATTTTCCAAGTGAAAACATTCTGATTTTCTGAATAAGAGTTTCTGAAATTGCCTATTTATATTTCATTCAAAAACAAATTAATTAGGCCAATTTTACAGGATTAAAAGAATCCTAGCACTGTGCACATTACACATTCAAGGCTTATAGGATCATTGTGTTCTCTTTCAACTAAGTTTTCTCTCGGTTTGTGATGAGGGTTAGTCTTTGGGTTAGGAGATTGGTTTCAAATTGACAAGGAGTTTGTCAATTGGTGTTGCAATTTTGCAGGGATGCAAATTGGTCAGTGGTTTGCATTTGATTTGTAAGTTATTCAAAATATTAGTGTAAACTCTCAGCGCGGATTTGACTTGGGGACTGGATGATACACCAGTTTGGTGGAACCAGTATAAATCCTTAGTGTTTTTGTGTTTGCAAAATTTCTGAGTTGCCATTTTTTTTCTTTGCATTTACTTTATCTACTTTGCAATAATAATTTTAAAAGAACACTATTCACCCCCCCCTCTAGTGTTCAAGTGTATCTATTTCAGATCCTACATATAGAATACGAACGTCGGTATACACACGCGAGCTTAGAAAACGAACGTCGGATCGACGTTGTTGTTGCTGTTGTTGTGCTGCTGCTGCAGAAACTGTGTCCGCAGGAACCCTGAAACCGAAAGGTTTTGAACCGAAAGGTTCTGAGATCGAGGAGATCTTTTGCCTTGACCGAAAGGTCTTATAGATCGAGGAGATCTTGACAGTACTGGGTTGATACACACCAGAGTACTGTACTGCTGTTATTGGAAGCAGTTTGGCCTTGGGATCCTTGCACCGGAGTAGGCCAAATATTGCTTTAAGCATAGCGTTTCACAAACGCACAACAGTTAGTTGAAAAAATTTAAAATAACAGCACGTCATCCTTCATTGTTTAATTCCAGATTTAACCATAATTTCCAACAGTAATACATACATTGTCTATAGTTTCTTCTTGGCTTATGCAAGAAGATGATTCCATAGGCAACATCAAGATTCAAGATGAATGTCCCATAAGCGATGAGTACTAGATTCTTGATGATAATTATATTTCGATAATTATTTACCAAAATGAAGGAAGATATTATTTAAAAGGAATGAAGTCCACGAGGGATAAGGATATAAAGATGAAGAGCTAAAGGAAGATGGGATTTGGATGCACGCTAAATAAAATGAGCAAAAGTTACATAACTAATACTATTCAAAAGTCACAAAACTTTTGCGAAAATGAAAGATTAAAAAGATAAGGTATTGAATTTTATTGCTTGGGGACCATAGATTCCCTTTCTTGCGCTTGATCAAACCTGGAGATTGCACAACGAGAAAATGATATAGAACTTACACCATTGTCTTACAAAATAATTTATGATAGCAAATTTTGGAAGTGATGGAATTAGAACTTATTTTGGTGATTCATTTTCTGGCTGAATTTTTCAGAGGAAAAAAATTGTACAGGGAAGTTTCTGAATTCATTTGATTGTGAGGTTTGCAAAGAATAGTTGTTACGTCAGAAATAAACTTGGTCACGGAAAAAATACATGTAAAGGAAATCATGCCATCTATTTCATTCTATCAGTAGTTAAATTGACCGAAATGTAGAGAAATCCAACAAAATAATGTTACCAAAGTTGTCTAATTAAATTTTTTTGAACAATTGTGGGTATAGCCCCCTCGTAAAATATCTCCTGCTTTCTCTCTCTCTCTCTCTCTCTCTCTCTAAAAAGAAGGCAACAACACTCCAGTTTCATGCGAAAGATGTTAACATTTCTAATCTAATATGAAAGTATATGTAAAGGATCATAAAAGTATGTCTACATCATATGCATATATAAAAGAAAAAATTTCTCATTTGAGCCAACAAGGTCCAATTGATTGAAATTGAACTAATGTTGGGTGTTTAGGTGTCCCTTTTGTGTGTGTGCGCGTGTGTGTTTTATTTTTTTCCCCGTGCATAATTTTGACAATCATACAATTAAAAATAGACCTCTTATTTTGCTTTATATATTTTTCTTAAGCACTATCACCCACTTGCATGCAAGAACAGGTGCTTAATAAATCATGCAAATTTCATAGAAATTCAACTACTTCGGAAAACTTAATCATTACATAAACTAACATCTACACATTTCTGAAAAACAGAAACTAAAGAGAACAGGACAAAAGAAAGTGAAGAGGAGGAAACAATGTGTAAGAGTGAAAAGCCATTTACCAAACAAACAAATTCCAATGCAAATATCAGAAATCTCTCCTTCATTTCTTGATGCATTTAAGTTTATATATTGATAAATATATATGAGAATACAATGCATATTTTCAAACTCTTTTTATCATATCCTGTTCATATCCTGGTCGTAAGTACATGAATCTAATTTACAGGAATATTCTAAATAATCACCTTCCAATTTTATTTATTTCAGTTTTATATCGGCTAGCATTTAACTTGCAAACCAAGGGAGGGATTTGATGTAATATATGGTTTGTTCACATTCTTCCCCTGATCAATCTCTATATAGAAATTTCAAGAACAGTGACTCACAAACTTAATCAATAACTTCCTTCTTTATCTCAAAACTTAATAATTTCCATAATTTACAAATTCTTCCTCTGTACCGTACATCCCTAATATAAATTTTGAACATAAAGTGTATATACTTTTTACTTCCAAAATAGTATCTTGTGAAATGTTTTAAGTCAGAAGCTTCTAGAAGCTTGAAAATCAAGATTCATGCCCTCTAGGTTAAGCAATAAATCTTGTAATTATATGGTTAATTACTTGTAGGATTTGCTATAAGAATTTAAAGGCAAATGACAATCTGGTTTTTTTTGTCTTTATTATTTTTTAAATAAAACCACTTTTGTCCCACTTTTGTGCCATTAAATGCATGCCAATAAGAGGAAAGCAAATACCCTTTTGCCGTATGTGCTTTTACTGAAAGTAAATTGTTTTAGACTGTGGTAAAAACTAAATAAGAGTAAAAGAATTTTGGAACTTTGAATCTGTTAATCATTTTTTTACCACTGATCCATGTACAATTAGATTAATAAACTAAATGGAAAATGGATAAAATAAAATAAAACTTATTTGTTTTAGTTTATAATCATATAAAACTTATTCTAATCATTACATAATGTGAGGAATATAGTATCATACAATAATCGATGCTATGATTATTCATTTCGCAAATACTACCCCATGAATTCATCAACACGAATACGCTTACTCTTATATACACAAACTAGTGTGTACACATGCTATGTCAGATAACACAATTCCTTACAATTAACCGGTAAAGCGGGACAAAGCATTCAATTCTAATAAATGACACGCGAACATAATGATTAATGTATCCGTTAAACATACTTAAAATGAATTCTTCAGCTAGTTTCGTTAATTTCCCAATTAATGATAAGATCCCCTCCTCTAATTCTGCGCGAACATTAAAATAACTAGATCTGCGTGATTAATTAACTTGTCTACTGATATTATCGTTGTTACAATCATTGTTCACGGTACCATTATCGATAATCGCGTGTGTTATATTAGCTTAATAAGCCATGGTTTTTTTTAAATTATCATTAACGAATTTGAAATTTTAAAATGAAAAAACAAAGTCAAAAATAGATTTAAAATAAAAAAGAAAATTGACCAAATCTTTTGAATCAGCTCCACATGTTAGTACGGGAAGCTCCGCTTTGTATGGGTCCTCGAGTCTATAAATACGAGCCGGCCGCAGCCACGCTCACTGGCAAGCTGAGCTCTCGTTTTTCTCAACCCCTCGTCTCGGACCTAAGAATTATCTCGTTTTTCGTTCTCGTCTCTTGTTTTCCTCCACCTCAAAAGATTCAAACCCTAATCGTCCTCAAAAGCTAGGGTTTCCTGTCCGCCAAATTTCACTCGCATAACACGACGATCGCCATCTTGAAACACAATGCAGTATCGGAGTCGAAGCTCCAGATACGAGAAACGATCTCCGTCGAGATCCGGCCACCGGAACTTCGGTCGCCGTGACGTCCGTGGATTCCGTCGGAAACCCTACCGCCGACCTGAGCTCCGCCGTGAGGGTCTCAACGGTGAGAAGGATGAGATCCTCAAGAAAGCGGGGCGTTTGGCGGCGACATACTTGATACATAAGGGTTTGCTACCCCCGTCTTCCATTCTCCCCAATTGGGAAAATGACGATAGATTTGACGAGGTTGGGAGGAGAGAGAGGAGAAATTTTAGGGATGGTGAGGGTTTTGAGGAGAGGTGGAGGAGGAGGAGGAGGAGTAGGAGGAATGGGGGAGATCGGAGATGAGAGAGAGGATCTTGATTTTTCACGCAGCATTCAAGAAATACGGAGGAGGAGGTGGCGGGAGAGGAGGATGAAGTGCGAGGAGATGAAGGGAGCTGAGGGGGAGAATCGGGACGGCGAGAGTTCTTTGCAGGGGAGGAGAGATGTTCTTGGGGAGGGTGATTTGGGTTTGGACAGGGTGGTGGATAATGGAAATGATTCATCGTCAGGTTATGAGAGTGGCGAGGTTCGGGATGACGATGATGATGATCTAATGGAGGGGGGTTTCTTTGAAGTTGATAGCAAAAACGGTGATGGCTTGTTGGAAGCGTATGGAGATGCTGAGGAGCCTAGTAGGCTTTGCTCGGTTGCGGTGCAAAGAAGTGGGGATGTTGACAGGGATGGAGGTTCTTCGTGCACTGTTGATTTGAGCCAGGCTATGAGTGAAGGCTGTTTGGGAAGTGATGGCGATGCGAAAATGGGTTTAGGTGATGATTTGGAGGTTAAGAGTTTGGATAGGAGGAGTGAAGGTAGGTTGGAGATGGATGTAAGTGATGATTCTAAGGGGAAAGGTTTGTGTGAAAAGAGTGAAGGTAGTATGGATATGGATATAAGTGAGGATTCAGATGGGAATGGGTTGTGCGAAGGCTTGGGTGTTGCGGAAAGTTGTTTCATAAGCAAGGATAGCGATGATCTTCTGAAAATAAATAACCTCACAAGTGTGACCTTCAAGCCAAGGACATCAGTTCATAGGACAAGCTCCAAAATCGATCAAATATTTCCAAACGAGCCCACTAAAGTTGGTGAAATTGTTTCTGAGCTTCCAAAACTGAAGGCGGAAGACGATATTCGAACTAACACCTCAAAAGGCAAAGAATCCCCTGTTTCTAGCATTATGCCTGTCCAACATATGGAAGAACCTGTGGAACAAAAATTTGAATTAGTTCAGAACCCTGGACTTTTCAGGTCATCTGTTGAGAAAGACAATGCTAACGAGGTAATCTGGTTGTTAAGGCAACCGTTGAAGCCAGAAGTCGAGAAGCTTCCAATAGATGAAGAAGTGGTTAAAGGACATGTAGCTGATCAAGAGAAACCAGTCCATAATGATTCCTCCCAAAAATTTGAACCTCAACTGAATATTAAGACACAAGCAGAAGAGCAGCTTCAAACCCCTGTCTATAAAGTTTGTGATCTTAACCTTCTACCACCTGAAATGATTGAGTCTGAGGATGATCCTGTTTTGGACCAATTTTATACTTCCATGCCTGTTTCTGAAGCTAGAAGGAACCCTTCTGTGGGCCTTGGCTGTATGATGGGTAATATGGAAAACAAAACTACAATCCACTCCTGGATCTCAGATGACAAGATGATTCCAATGGTTGATCTTGAAGATGATTCTTCAATAGTGTACGATGCTTTTGGCTCACTAAAACCTATGTGAGCTTCTTTCATATACAATCGCCTTTTTCTTTTAGCATATTGGAGAAATTTAGAAGTTTTCAATTCCGCTATATTTTAATTCATTTAGAAGCTAATCCTGTATGTTAATATTCCCTATTTATTTCTGATCTGCTGTTTAAAATTTATTATTGGCTGTTTTTCCTCCCAAATCATGTAGTTTCGGTAGTTGGCATGTATTTCTAGACATCTGATTCTCCTTTAATAATGGCCATGAAACAGGAAAGAACCTAAGTATTTGAGCATGGCACATGTCACAGAGAACAAGGACCTTCATGTTGCTTACAATGGTTGTTCTCTCGAAACTTCAGAGTTTCATCGGACTGATGTATTGTGTCTACCGCCCTCCTCTGACCTTGATAACCCACATACATGAATGGGCATTCATGGTGCAGAGGTGAATTAGCTGGAACTTATTTAAATCCTGCATTTACTTTTCGAAGTTTATGCATTACCTTCTTGCTATTCTCTTCAAATTATTCACTATTTTCTTTTTGGTGGGTATTCAATTTGCTTTTTGCTTAGTTACATGTACTAGCATTTTTACTGTGTATCTATTTGCTATCTCTGTATGGAATATGGATTTGTGCATATGCATTAACGTATATAGATCATGGAGATATGTGATCATTCTCTCTACTTTACTGGGGTTCCTAACGGTAGCGATTTAATTTATGTAGAGATTTTTATAGGTATTTGAACATAAAGTTCTGTTTCTCTAACCACTTATTTTTATGCAAGATTTTCACTTATCGATCTACTTTATAGAATCTGTTGACTTCTGGCTGCCTGCCATGAATGCTCGCTAACCTGTATGAGTATATTGTAAATTTTGTCGCTTTCGTGCCCAGCTGGTTGAATGTTTTCCTTTTAATCCTTGATTATAAAGATGAAAAATAAAGGTGTATAGCCCATTAATTCAGGGACGCCTCTGCTTTAAATGTGAAAATCAATACTCGCGTCCTCCAGCACATTCTTCATTCTGCCTAATCACTGAATTTCTTTTTCTCCCCGTTACAGGTTATGTGAAGGTTTGATTAGCTGACTAAAGCTGTTTGAAGGTGTTTCGATAGTTGCTCAATTGTGATATATTTGGGGGAGCCAGGCTTCCAGTTTCCACCTGTTGTGCCTATTTGGTTAAGAAATTAGATTAGAGGGTTGCCATCCTTATTTCCAGTTAACAAAGGTTTGTAGCAGTTGTATCAGTATCTACTGTTGTAGTTGTATTTCATATCAATTCATGGATTAAGTTTTCTTTAGTTACTTGATGGTTTTCTGGTTATAGTTCTTTCAGTACTTAACAGTTTCAACGTAGTTTCTGAATATGACATGTGTGAATTCAATACGCTTTTTCTAAGCAAAGTAGGTCATTAGCTGGTTGTTTTCCCCCAAAAGATCTGTCATGTAAAGGGATAAATTGAAGATGATGGTTATATAATGTTATGCTTATAGTTTAACCCTAAACTACTTTTAGCTCCACTCGTGTATTTAACATGTGAAGTTCTGCATTCATGTGCATTACCAACTAAGACATGTCATGCACATGCATATGCTGATTTATTCACCGATATGAATCACTCGCACTTTAGTATTTTTCCCATCAACCAGGTTTTACTTCAGTGTTTTCCCCAATTGGGATACTCTCTTGATTGTCCCTGCCCGAGTAATTTGCCACGGCATTTGCAATTTTTCTTAGAATGGCCAAATTTACTGCTTTTCTGAGTTTTTCTTTTCTTGTTTTGCTAAATTTGCAATAAGCTATTTCCTTTTTTCTGGTTGATCAATTTTATATTATTTCTTCCTCTAACAATTTACAAACCCCTACTCCTACCAAATGAATTAATTGAATAAAAAGGAAAGTTAAAAAAACTAACCTTTATCTCCCTCCCTCTTCTGCATTCCATTTTTCATTTGGTTTTTTGGGAACACATTTTCTATATCGCTTTAACTTTTGAGCATATCCAGACTAGTATTCTGCCAATTTGTTATTTAGATATCAAGAAATCCAGATTTGTAAGTGAACTTTATGGATGATCAGGTTCTCACTACTTGTGCCTAGTTTTGATATAATGCCAACGTCCTGCCAAAACATCTATAGAAAAAAGATAGTTATGCCGTAAATTTAGAGGAAGAGAAATCTGTGTGCATGTTAAGTTACTGTATATGGATAAACCATCTGTGATTTGCTGTATTATCAAGCTGAATAGGTGAAGTCAGGTTCGGTATAGGGGTACATTTATACCATAAGCAGAGATATATGCCAAATTTATGCCGTAAATTTAGAGGAAGAGAAATCCGTGTGCATGTTTTAAGTTACTGTATATGGATAAACCATCTGCGATTTGCTGTATTGTCAAGCTGAATAGGTGAAGTCAGGTTCGGTATAGGGGTACATTTATACCATAAGCAGAGATATATGCCAAATTAACCCTCTTTGTGCAGATGACGACAATGATTAGTAACAAACAGCCTTATAAGTAACCTCACTAGCTTTATAGCTTTTATATTTACAGTCGCACTTTAAGTTTCTGACTTCTTATCAGGAAAATCTCTCCCCCGTGATCTGCATACTACCATCTCGGATATACTATAGGCTTTGGTTGGAATTGCTTTCTCTCTGAGCTGCATAATGCCAGAAGAAAATTTCATCCATTTCATTGTCATTAGCTCATTTGTTAGGAGTAACTCTGTCGTAATGACAACTTACAGATCTAGCCATCTACTTCCTACGTCATATACTTCATCTCATTTCCTGGATATTGGCAGCTGCATTCTCCTTAATTTTGATGGTTCATTATTGGGACATGATTCTGACATTTGCTTTGCTAATCAATTATGTTTTTTGAAATTTAAGGCTAGCTGGTTACAAGGTTCCCCCATTCACTTTGTCACTCAATATGCACACGTCCTTTTAGCCTATCAAACATTAAACTGCGGATAAAATGGCCATTCTATCTTGGAGGAGAGTCATTGATAACCATAAGCTCCGTTAACCACGAGCATGAAAAAAATATTGGAACCTGTAGTCTCAGCAATGATCTGAGAGAACTAGTGCAGTCTTCCTTCTAATTATATGAAGACCTAGAATTTCTACAAGGTTGTTAATGCCTTAGTTAAGCAAGTGGCTTTGTAGAACTGAAATGGTATGGAGCTTTTCTTTCTCATGGAAATGAAAATGCTACGGAGAAATATGTTAACTGCAGTTAAGGGCTGATAGCAAGGTGTTTTAGTATTTGAGAGTTAATTGCTTGCTTCACTAATCAGAGTCATATGGTAGTCTTAGTATTTGAGAGTTAATTGCTTGGCATAGAAGTTTGATGGTGTGAAAATGGATACCAGTTTCATTTTACTACTACTTACTCTTGCCTAAAGTGATATGCAGAGAAAAAACTATCATTTTTTTAATCTCCAAGTAAAGCTTTTTGTGAAGATATTCAGTGAGAATATTAGCCCTGGAAGGCTTTACATTTGATTGAACTTCTCCATCTTGTGCTATTTCTTCTTTGTGATGGTTCGTATCCGAGAGTTTACTGACATCCATACATACACATGTGTATGTTCGTGCATCAGAGAATTTGAATAATTCTCTCCAATAACATAAAAAGTTTTTTTAAAACCTTTATACACCCAAATCAATCATATTTGCAAATTTATCTTCCAAGTCTATACATTTGCTAATTTATCCCCCAATTTTCCCATAGGTCTAAAGTGCCCTCCATACTTAACGTTGTTCATTTTTTAATGGTGGGAGGGGGAAATTTTAGGTAGACAACTAATAGAAGAATCAGGAATATCCTCATAATAACTTTTGTGCAGAATTTTAACTCAGTATGGTAGAACCATAGACTTGGGGACTAAATTAGTAAATATCTAGATTTATGGTGCAAATTTGCACATATGGTTGATTTGGGGGTATGTAGGTAACAAACTTAATGTAAAACATGTAACGATTGCAGATGTGATAAAGTTTTGACCTAAGTAGCATGGGCTAACACAAGACATGGTGTTGTTCATGCATCCAAAGGTTTAAACAATTATTTCAATTAATATAGGCATATAGTGATTACACATAACGTACATTTTATGACTTTGTAACAGGGGTATGAGTTGGCTCTTGAATTTTATAAAGAATGTTAGACATATCAAAACTTATGTCTTATGAGTTGCGAGTAGGTGTATTGGACACAGATATGACTTTATGATACAAGTCCCATGCCACATAGGTTTTGGCATACTACATTTTTTATGACTTTGCAAAAGCAACAAGACAGACTCTTTAACTTTTTCCAAAGTAGTTGCACATTTCTAAACTAACTATGAATTTATACAAGTCAATCCTTTTTATGAGATTTTTTGACTAAAGTACATTTATCTCAAACATGAATCATGAATAAATAATGTATTAGAAGTGTGCGATGTGTCTAAAAAGTGTAAAATAAGGGTTCTAAATTAAAATATATATTATATATTATGTAACCAAAGCATTTTACTAAGAGCATGTTTGGCAATACTAGGTTATAATCCACACGGGTCATATCCATCTGTAGATTATGAGTTTATAACCCAATTGGATTAAAAGTTTATATGTTTGATAAAGAGGGCATTTATTATCCATGTGTTTTCTGTTAAAATAAAAACCCTTAAAAGTGGGATTAGAAAGAAAATCTCATTTTTTAGGTCAAACATGTGGATTATATAATTCATAAAAAAAAAGAATCCTAGGTTCTTTTGGTGGATTATAATCCAAAATAATCCGCTCTAACATGCAGTTACCAAAAATACAGAAGTGAATTACAATCCACTTTGACCAAGTAGCCAAACATGTTATAACTTCATAAATATATCTGAGTGTCCAAGAAAGTATCTGTTTCCTACATGGACGTTAGCATGTTTGACACAGGTTCAGTTCACAGTAGGTATAGTCATGCTATACAGCTCAGAACCTTAAATCGGTTTGGCTGGTTTTAACTGCAAGCTGACCTGACCTACTAACCTAGTCGGATTTTGGCCCAATACTATGACAGATTCCGTCTCCAATAGTCTCTGTGTGTGTGCGCGCGCGCGTGTGTGCATGTCCATGTGCGTGAGTGTATGGGTAATGCCTGTATGGCACGTGGGAAATAATGGGTATGAAGTGGCGGCTCATTTGCTAAATGAGCCATCATGAGATGGGTATGAAGTGAGGCCCACCCCGGGAGTCACATCAGAAGCGTTAGTCTCACCACCTTTCATCTATTAGGAGCTCATTTATGTGTATCTGTATGTGTATGTGTATGTGTATGTGTATGTGTATGTGTATGTGTATGTGTATGTGTATGTGTATGTGTATATGTATATGTATATGTATGTGTGTGTATAAAATCTTATCTTAAGATGGACTAATTGGCTCATCAATCTCATGACTCGTACCGTACATCTTGTTCAAAACATCATCAAATGTATAAATGTATGTGGTTTTCATATGGTTTTAAGGGTTCTAGAATATGAATCAAACTAGTTTAACATGTTGATTTTTTCAGATAACTTAATAGCCGTCCCTTTTGTACATAACTAAAATGATGATATAAATTTCAAAACAAAATACTTTTTTCTACATATAGATCATGATGAGTGCAAATCACGATGGGTGGCCAATAATTGTATCAAGTTACCTGGTAGGCCATCTCACGATAAGAATCTCATCTCACCATCTCATTTGATCATTTTTTTTATATGAGTACGTGCGCGCAAATATGCATGCATGAACGTATGCATGTAGTTAAGAAGTACATGCGAGAATATCTTATCCAAGGTTTGCCTAAGTAGAATGGCCTTTTATATGGATGTTCTAATCCTGTACAATTAGGAAGTAATTGCTAAAATCAAATCACAATGGTACAAGTCTTGTTAATCTCCCTTTCCAAATGCTGTTAAGATTTCCTAGATTGCCACTTGCTCATGTAGTTGGAAGTCCACCAAGACTGGGCAGACAGCTGGCTGAGTGATTGCTCTATGCCTTTCTGATGCAGACTTTATGGTCCGAGCATCAATTGTCCCTAATGTTCTTGCTGCTCCAGTGCTTGTTCACTCGTGAGCACAAGTCTGTTGTCTTCTTCCTTCTTGTTGTTCATATTTCATAATTCTTCAAACGCTGTTGTTTCCTTTCTTCTTAGTTCCTCACTTTGTTTATGGACTTAAGGGGATACACTAATGCTATCTTATTCAAACTTTTACCTTGACTCGAATGCTCTTTTAATTGTATGTAACCATGGAACATATAGGAAATAATTCATAAATCCTAACCGGCGATGTAGAAAGTGGCAGGAGGCGCCCTTTTATTACGCGATTCAGATTGTCCAGTTTGCTGTTTGCTGATCCAAAGCTGAAAATCCACCTAGCACTGGGCAGACAGACTGGTAGGAGGTTGCATTATGTTTCACAGTTGTAGTCCTGGTCCAAAACCATGCTTTGTTTACTTGTTTTCTTGATATCACTGACATCCCAGCATCAACGCCATGCAATAGTATGAAAAATAAACCTTGAATTTTTGATAGCATGCCATCTCTTACCTTCTATCAGAACTATCTATCTAGTATCTTTGTACAATCAAATTTAATGAGGAAGTGTTGGACATATATTCTGTAGTCTATATGATTTCTAGATTGACGTTAGGCAGTAATGTAATATATCGCAATGAAATTTACTGTCAGGATCTTTTAACCTTGCAAGACTTTTGTGTTGTATTCGATTCTGATGGCAATCGCTATTAAAGAGTAACTCATGCGTGACTCGTGTCTTGTTGTTGCAGATACGCCATCAAATACTGAACTTAAAGATCTTCCAGATAAAATATAGTCGGTCTACAAGGGGATGAAAGAATATTAGCAGGCCACACATCAACAGGAATTACGTAAAGAATCTTCTTGCAAGACTCATGTAATGATGGGAAAAGATTCATCCTTGAACAGGCAAACTGGGGAAGGAAACTGATGCAGCAAAAGCTGATTTTGGGGCAGAAAGACGTCAAATTTTTTGAAACAATAGTGAGACTGAATTCTTTGGAAAGCATTTACATGTGTATTGGCTATAGTTCTTTCGCTCTTTGTAAATATATTTCTTGTAAACCTGCAAACCAGTCTGATGATGGCTAAAGAAAAATGGATCTATAAACAATCTGGTGTGTTTGAAAACTGCAGTGGGGAACTTCATAAAATTTTAAGCTACTATTCTCCTTCGCGTGTTGGATTAAGTTCTTCAGTTTGCTTTATCCGCATCATGCTGGTTATTTGCGAAGTATTTGTTACAGTCTGTTTCTTTGACTAGAGATGACTGCTATAGTCTTTGGCCAACTTTGCATATTCTACCTGTCTGTTTACAGTTGTCCCTCAACATGTGAAATTTCGATGAATTCCTGGTGAGTGTTATTGATTTGAACATGATTAGCGTTCAGTTTAGCCTGCTGGTATTCCAACCTGAAATTTCTTGCGCAACTAGATACTTTATAATGTACAACATTGACATTAATAATAGATTGAATTTTGAGAATTGCTTGTATATTACCTCAATTATAGTTGTAATCGTAATTGTCTTGCGAATATTGTAAACATTATTGGCCTACATTAAATGTATTGATAATTTTGAGGTAACGCAGTCAAAATTGAACTCCATGGCTTATTCCTACGGCATTACTTCGAGATAAAGCATGGAATTTCCTCTATTTTGTTTTTTCCTGTGTGTGTACATGTGTTATAGCCGTTTTAATGATGAAAAATAATCTCTAATCAATGGCAGACAAGTATTTCACATTATGCATAATCAAGTCAGCACCTTAAGACAACTAGGGGCTCAACTCGGTCAACTCGACACGCCGACATCTTGCGAGGACGACTCGAAAGGCGTCACATGTCGACGACCCGAAAGGCATTACGTGTCGCCCCCGGCTAAGTCGACTACTTAACCACTCCATTTGGGCGACTAATCGGCCGACAACTTGCGAGGGCGACTCAAAAGGCGGTACTTCTCGAGCACCAGAAGAGTAGAAAGGCGACGAAATGCCTCGAGCCCCTCCTACGCACTGATGACCTATCATCTCGCCATAAATGCCATTAAATTCATTATGGATGTCATCATTCCTTTGCCTCTAATAGTATTTATGACACATCGGACCATATCAGCACCGCACACCCCCGTCACTTCGTATTAAACATTGATGTGACCTCTTCTCCACTCGTCGGCCGCACCTATAAAGTTGAAGCTGACTTGGCCGCTAGCCCAATACCCGACCGAAGTTACCGTCATACCCTCCTTCCACTACTATAAAAGGAGATACTATTTTTCATTATAGGGTAAGCTTTTTCCACCATTTTCTGAATTTAAGAACTACCGCAGTTCATTTTACTTCTCTACACAAGTCACCCACTGACTTGATTGTTGGACGAACAACCGAGGAATTACACCTCGTCCTCTTACAATTTGTTACTTGTGCATGGAAGTACAGTTTGTCCAAGGACCAGATATCAGGAGAGTTGACCTCCGTCAATCTAATCTATTTTTATTTGACTGTGTAATTTCATACATCAACAATATGTTTGTGTACTCTGCAGATGTATGTATAAGCTAAATAGCAGCTAAGACAAAGTAGCTTAAGATGGTGTACGCTCTTTGGTAGTAATCTTAAGAGTGAGAAATTTTTAGATTTTATAGTGGAGCCTAAAGAGAGTTTTTGGAATATAAAATCATGAAAACTAACCTTCGCTGGGGCTCAAGAGTTTTAATATGGCGAGAAGAAATCTTAAGAAATGGTATCAGAACGGTTATGCCAAAAAAAACCTTGGGCTGGACATAATGTAGTCAGACTAATTGCTTTTAATCATATTTGTGGATCTCAAGCGAGTGTTTGTTTACGTTGAATTCTAATATTAGAAAGTATATCAATCATCGTCATGGGTTCAGGCCCACAATACTTAGGAGTTGTTTGGTTCAAGCAAAATTTAACATTTGGTGTAGATTACAAATTTTAGGATCAATAAATGATTTTTTTGTGTGTGTTTTGTGATTCCATATTGGTATTATTCTAAGAAAAATTTTGAAATGTTGAATCCCAAAAATATGAAAAGTGCCTAATTTTTAGAATTTGTCAAATCGTCTCAATTAGAAAGGGTTAGGCAAATTCCATAAATGGATATGCTTACCTCTATTTTTATATCGTTGTATTTTATTTATTTACTTTTTTTTTAGGTAACCTCACCAGAGTAAGTATATTCACTTCTTCTTCTTTTTAAGAATTTTTTATCCGATAATTTTGGGTTGAACCAAACAAAACAAGTTTTTTTTCCCTAGAAACCAACTATAAGTTAAGGTAATTATACACAAATCACCTTTCATTTCTAATTTATATAAAAACCACCTACAATTTATTCCGTTCTAATTAACCACCTGAGGCTACATATTTTTCATTAAACTCATTTCTACTCTTATTAAATCGCGTGTTTTGCACGTGCTCTCTCATCCTTAATCAGATCCTTAACCTTGACCCATAAACGAAACCTTAAACCCTTAATCAACCACATCCTAAACTAAACTCATATTAATTGCCCCCACCCACATGAGCCACCCATATAAGTTAGCCCTAAAATTAAAAAGAGAGAAATCGTAGGAGAGAGGTTGAAGTAGCTATTGTGGTTTGGAGCCCCATCCCAAAAAATTCACTCTCCCTCCATAAGTTGAGGAAGAAAAGATGTGACATCAACTTCATGAGAAGGAAAAATCATGTCAATCTTTTTCATTCTGAAGTATAGATCAAAATTGATCAAAATTTTGTTGAGATTTCTTCTTTTTTGCAAGGAACTTAATGGGTTTGTTTTGGTTTTAGTTAGGCGAGGTCTAACAGTTTAGGGTCTGGTTAAAGATGGGTTAGGATGTGTTGTGCCATAGAAATAAACGAGTGCTAATCACATTTAATTTGTTGACATGTGTCCCAAGCAGACTACACCCCAACTCAATGTGTCACGCCCTGCTTCCCAAAATGCCCGGGAATCAGAACGTGAACAAGCCCGCGACGTATTAGATCAAGGAGAGTAAATAAAAATAATCATTTCTCCTCAACCTAATACGCTAAGCGTCTAGAAATAAATATAATGCGAAGTCACATGTCCCCGATCACAATCAGCAAGAATATAATAGACAAACTCAGAATAAATATATCATATCACAAATGGGATAACTATCCACGCAATAAAATGTACCAGTTATGCTAATACGACAGATAATATACAACAGTAAAAATAATATAACAAATTGTACAAATTAATATGAAATAATAATATAACCGACAGATAATATACAACAGTAAAAATAATATAACAAATTGTACAAATTAATATGAAATAATAATATAACGTATTATATGAAAATATACGTAATAATAATAATAATACCACGTATTATTCAAAATGATACGTAATAGTGTCGGTAACACAACGTATAAATTCTAAAAAAATTCACCGCACAAAATTAATTTATAAATATTAATATCATTTAAAAAATATAAAACTTGGACTTTGAATCATAGAACAAAATTAATTTATAAATATTAATATCATTTAAAAAATATAAAACTTGGACTTTGAATCATAGAAAAATTTAGAAAATCTAGAAAATACAAATATTATTTTAAAAATAATAATTAAATATTTTAAAATACTAAAAAATTATTTTAACTAGTATCAAAATTCACGGTCCTTACATTCTAACCCCCTTAAAACAAATTCCGCCCTCGGAATTAAAATAAAAATAATATAGAAAGAACCAAATGACAGAGATATGGAACGATATCCATAAACAGAGGATGATATAAAGCAAGAAGAACACAAGGTAAAATACAAGATGTGATAGCTAAGATATTGCTATCGTATTTCAGACTCGCAACAAAGTACGAACAAATATTATGATACAAACATATTTAACTATGTGAACTTGATATGCAGTACTTATAAATATATAAGCAATCTAATCAGTATAAAGTATAAGATAAGCAATAATATAGAATCAAAACAAATAGGTACAATATAAATAAACAATTATATAATGCGAATCATACAAATAATATACACGCATTCATACAAATAATATACAAAGCAGAAACATATTAACAAAGCAGAAACATATTAAGTAAGAATAAAGTCAAGTAAGAACAATAAATCTAAAGAAAACACAAAAATAAGTCAAATAAAATAGAAACAGACAGAAACATAAACAACATAATAAGAAAATTTGAAAAATCTAAAATACATAACAGTTTAAACAAAACATAATAGCAGGGTTTAACAATGGTTAATGAAAAATACAATCAATACAGGTTCAAACTAAAGATATTAAATACACAATGTAAAATATAAAATCAATAAAAACGAGTAAACGAGCGAAAACGAACATCAACAGGATCTATAACAAAATAGAATGATATAATAATAAGTATAAATCAAAGATAATAGGAAAAAAAATCATAAAGCAATTAGAATAATAGTACATACAAAATAAACACAAATAAAGGAAAATATATTTAATTGATGGAATGATGAAAAGTAATCTAAAACATAGAAAAGATATAAGGACAGTCAAGTATAAATAGTTAAACACAATTATTAAAACAATTATACAATTCAATAATCATGTAAAGCAATATACAAAATTTAGCAGATAAATAATTCATTACAAAAATATTAGGAATTTACAATTATATACACAAAAATTAGAATACGTCAAATAATATAATTATGTAAAAATAAGTAGCACAATGCAAGTGGAATATTAGAAGGTAATTGAACATAAACCGAAAGGATATGATATACAAAACAATTACAAAATAGACAATCATGAAAAGACAAAGTGATATGACACAACAACATATAAGAAAATGAATTATATGCAGCATATCATATCAAAAATAAAATAAATAATTATAGACGTGTCTCGGAGCAATAATTATTGAAAACACACACTTATGGAAATATTATGACTAAATAAATGAAGTAGACAAACCTAAACAAAGAACAGAATATAAAGTAAGCATTAGAATGAATAAAAAAAACTATATATAGAAGATAAATTAACAAACATGAACAAAACTATAAAAAAGATGAAATGTTTGATAAATTAAATCAAACAATGATGATACATGTAATTGGAAGTAAAGAA